CCGTCACGGTGATGAGTAAATTTCAGTGGACCGAGTCATAGACCATTCATGACGACTGGCGCAGCACGTTCTGATCGAGCTAAGGGCTCAGGAAGAACCATGAGTAGAGATAATTAGGACAAGGTGACCTTCACTACCTGCCACACCTTCAAATTTGGAATCCCACAACTCACCGTCACCGCCAGATTCTACTCCAAGCCCTCTTAATTGACTTGAAACCACAGCTGACCTTTGACAAAATATGTCCCCATTGGACGAGGAATGCGAGCAGATTAAAAACAAATCCCAAGAATCAAATCACGAAATTTCGCAACATTTCGGAATTGGTCAAAAAGAATTAATCTCGCGAAAAGACTTTACGCCCTAACTAAGCCCTATACTTTCTCTCCTTCCATAAAACTCACTGGAAATTTCACCCAATACAACTCCCTTTCCTAGGGAGCCAAACACGACACACTAGCGAGGAACTCTGATGATGGCTCACCCTATCGTGGACCACAGTTTTTCTACATATGTATGAAGTGCTTAACAATTATTCTTTTCAGTGGTCGAATCACAAACGTGCTGCTCGTTTACCCACCAAATTCCAAGGAATTTCGAAACGGCGCCTACGAGAATGTATACATCTTCCTTGGAATCGGCGTCTTCATTCTCATCACAAACTTTATACAGGTTGAGCTAATTATTGTAACAAACTCTAAAAAAAACGGTCGATTGTGCAATGCCCAAATTTCCCTAATTCGCTTTTTTGAAAAGGGGTGATGAGGTTGGCTTTATTCCAAAACGCGTGGCAAGGATGCCAACAATAAGGCCCTATTACTTACAATCCACGCACAATTCACGCATCTATGCACACTAATCCGCTTCTTCGCTCGTTCCCCGTGCTCTTACCCTCGGGTCTGTTCTCTCACCGCGGTACCACTGTTCATGGGCTTTCTATCTTGTAGACTCGTATAGATAACAAATCAAGGAGGCACCTGTTTCCATTTTTTTCTTTTGACTGCCCTCCCTTCGCCTCTAAGCGGGAGTCAGAAAATTTGTTACATACTCACAGAGTTTTAACTGACCAGCGCTCTGTGTGGCAGCGGACCTTTCCGCTCGAAGGGTGGAACCGACGGCCTCTGAAGACGACGATTCAGTCGAAACGTTAGGCCATTAATAAAGGTTCCACCGAACAACCTCGTAAGGCACAAGAAAATTATTAAAGGTGGTACATACTGTTTCAATGAACCCCACTATCCCGGCTTAGCTACCGCGGAGTGCGCCATTGAGAGGTGACATAATCTAGTGATTTCACTGTTGCCACACTGCGTAAGTGCATACTGGTATCAAATTCATACCACCGTTGTAAAACGGCATTCGTCTTATTCGATTTACAGATGTGGAATTTGCGGAAAATCATGCTAGTTAGCAAGTATATTTTCAGTTCATGTGCTTCCACAGCGTTTGTGTTCGGGTGATGGCCAAAATGCGTCACGCATACGTTCACTCGATACTTCGTCAGAATGCAGGCTGGTTTGACAGAAACCATTCAGGAGCACTGACCACAAAATTGAACGAGTAAGTTAGTTAGTGAGTTTTAGTTTTGCTATTTCTAGACGGACAATCAGAAATGGGTGCAGACATTAGTTTTCCATCACTTTTTCAATTCTGGAGCTAGAAATTTATCTCGAAGGAAGTGAACGTAATGGCCGTAGAGAATTTGATTTTGATGACGTTTTTGAAATTCATCGGTGGAACGACGTAAAAGGCGGTACTATCCACCCTCGTCCTTCCTTCCCCTCCCCGTCCACCGCGCTGAGGAGCCCAGTGCACTAAGAGGACATTCAAGAATGCCATCAAAATTGCAACGGCCTTCATCTATCGTGACCACTGCATTTGAAGTCCTATCCCGCAAATGAATTTTGGGAAAATTACCTTTGAAAATGAAAGCATTTGAGCTATTCTGGTGATCAGTAATGAGAGAGAATTATGTTAGCAAGTCTTACAATCATAGTGAATGCTTGTCGTAGCACTGACCCCTTTCTCCTTTATTTTTTCAGTGGTTAGCTCGTCATCTTTTCGAAAGACGGCTTGACCAATGGCGAGATAGGGCCGAGGACGCAATCCCGCTCATACGCGCGCCCAGGGTTACTTTAAGGGTCTGAGCAATTCGTTTCCTCTCATTAATTAGTTGCAGTCTCAAGTAATAGCGGAAAACCTTGCGCCGTTGTGAAGGTATTAAAATGTTGCATCAAAATTATCTTTTATGAAAGTGCTATACAAAAGGAAGTCCAAAAGAATGAAAGACAAACTGTGTGGATTTCAGCAACATGGAGAGAATTCGAGAAGGAATCGGCGATAAACTCGGCCTGCTGTTGCGTGGTTGTGCGATGTTCATCGCAGCAGTGATCATCGCGTTCATCTACGAATGGCGCTTAGCGTTGATGATGCTTGGCGTTGTTCCAAGCACATGTATCATCATGTCCATCATGGCAAGAGTAAGTCATGTTACGCTTTGGGCATAAGTAATTTTTAAATGCTGAAAAGGTAGCGTTCGGTTACAAAGCACCAGAGTTCATCGAACTACCTTGAAAATTGATAATCCTTAAGCAGGAAACTTTTCTGATCTTCACTAGCTTTTTTTAACGCAGAAAGACGAAGATATTAGTAGATGATGATAGTTGTCAGCAGATTCCCTTTTGAAAGCGGGCCCATTTGATGAAACCTTACTTAGTGGTACATTTCACGTTTGAATGTTGTGGGTAGTTGCGTTCTAAAAAGAATGTCGTTGTGGTAATTGATTCATTACCACAAGGACATTCCATTGATCCACAACAAAAAGCTGCAAAAATTCGTTAAAATCACATGCTCGCTGACTGTATGGGAGGGGTTACGGTAGACGTCGCCTCTGTAGGGGGAATCTCACTAGGAAGCTCTCGGTGTTGATGTGGTATAGTACAGTAAGGCTAGCAAAAGATGGCCTGAAGTATAATTTTCATGGTTAGCATGACTTCTTTTGCTTCCTCTCATTGCGGATAAACCAGTCACCAAGACATTTTTCATTTTCGTACCTAATGACACACATCTATTCAATCGCTGATCGTTCCTTTAACAATAATGCGCTCTATTCGGTCACGCAATCCTATATTTTTGGGGGACCTCTCGACCTGGTAGCGCAACCTGTGAGTAGACGTTCTTCTGTACGGGGCTCTGAATTCTTGAACATGCTGCGTGATTCGTCATCCCTTGTTCAGCTCGCCGAAAGCAATTTTAACCTATTCAGAAGATGACTTCAACGACAATAAGCGAGCTGGCTGGAGTAGGAAAGGCTGGTTCTATAGCTGAAGAATCTCTGATGGGTGTCCGAACTGTTCAAGCCCTCAATGGACAGCAGGAAATGGTTGATCGGTGAGCGCCGAATAAAATCCAACACCATCTCTAATTATTCCGAATTATCATTCTGGAGACATCACAATTTACGCTTTCCAGCTACACTGTGGAGTTGAAACGAGGAAAATCATTCGCAGTGTGGAAAGGTTTTTGGAGCGGTCTACTAGGCGGCCTATTCTTCTTCGTGTTGTTCTCCTTCATGGGATGTGGAATGCTGTGAGTCGAAGCTATTCTTAACTCAAAACCAAGCTTTCAAGATGTTATGAATCGAAGACGTCCAAAAGCTCACGTATGTTCTAGAGCCGCATGAGCAAAATTTCCGCCTCAAAAAGGTCGTAAAGACAAAACAAGTAGAAAACTTTCATGCCGAAATTGCATGAGAGGAATTACAAAGTCCTCCTAGCAGCCTTCACTATCAGTAACTTTGATACACACCTCTAATGCTATCCAAAGACGAAGGGCACGATGAATTGAGCGTTGAAGAAGAGCAAGAGTGACCACTACAAACTTTTTATTTGACCCAGCGAAGCGAACGTGACGCTTTTTCTCGTGGTAAAAAAAGGCAGCATCAGCGACCTTACACGGTGTTTCCATTCTCCTTCAACGCCTCTTCTCTTTGCCCGCCCACCAAATGGGTACCCGTGTGCTGGTTCTCTGCCGTCTGACTCTAGCCGTTTTAACAGAGAGGCAGAGAACCAGGGTCAACCGTCCGTTGGACAAAGTTCAACGCGACGACGAGATTAATGCCGAGAATGAGCGTACGCACGGAGACA